CTAAACCCTGAACCCTGAAACCCTGTGCTTCTGTGCCCCGCTCTGGCCTTTAAATGGAAGAGCAGCGAGTACATGTGGGAGTTTCCGAAAATTAGGGGTACCACCTTATTTGGGGGTCCTTATAAAAAGGATCCTACGATTTAGGGTACTATCTTAGGGTCCCCTATTTTCGGAAACCTCGATGTGATTCCAGGCATCACCAACCAAGTTCATACACGAAGGGAGTGTTTCGGGAATACAATACCCCGAAACTCCACTACTGAGCTTCTGTTCGTCATGCAATTTCAAGCCTACCGAAAACCTGCAAAAAGCAAACCGAACCCTGAAACCTTCTCACATTTTGCCAGGAGTGAGTCCCGCACCGGCTCGGGATTGTGTTCGATGCGCGCCACCTTAAAGACTTAGCCCTAACCCCAAAGGTACCTACTATACAGGATACTAGAGCCCCTAGGGCCCTATATAGTAGGTACATGGAGGGTTAGACTTAGGGGTGTATGGTCTGGAGTTGCGGATTCAGGGTTTTGAGTGTTGGGATTGCTGGACCAAGCGGGAGCTTTGGTTTGGAATATTTGGGAGTTGGGCCAAGAGGCCGAGAATTGGTGGTTACGGTATAAGTGTTTTGCGAAAGTCCTCCCTCCTTTCCGTAATCAAGGGGGATGAAACATGATGTGATGTGTATCGCTGAGTAGCGACGATGATGGTAATGCTCACGATCGTGGTGGTGATCATGGTGACGATGTTGAGGGTTTGATTCTCGATTTCACATGCAGCCAAGCCATTTTCCATCACAGCCGCACCTTCAATCCCAGTACAGGCTTATTCTGTGCCAGCGCCGATCTGAGAATTCTGAAGCCAGGGTCCGTGCGATTCGGTCATTGTAGACACCCTTCTCCGGCGGAAAGCACCAAATCTGGCGGGACAGATGCTTTGCTGGGACAAGCATCAGGGGTAGAAGCTTGAAATGTCGGCGTCTAGAGCAAAAACATAGTTGTAGACAAGATGGCCTTGCAACATAAACCGCGAGCCCCGAGCTGGCCGATATAATTCTCAGCTTAGGAATCATGGGGACACTGCTGGTTGGGGATAATTATGCTCTGGGCTTTGAAGCATTGCTGCCGTTCTGCGAGTACCGATCCATCTCCACACCTTGTTCCTTATACCCTACCTTAAGAACCCCAAACCTACTTTTTTGTAGGGTCCCTATAAAGACATCTTATAGATCCCATGCCCGCACACGCTCAAACCGAACCCACGACCCCAAAACCAGGTGTCTGCTATGGAAGTCACCTCAAGTTACTTGCCCTAATTACCAAACTCACCGTAGCTGGGATATAGATGGTGAAGAACATAAGTATGTTCTCCTTGCTGTGATTCGCCACCCTCCTGAACAAATCAGCTTGTCTTGGCTGGTTGAACAATGCTGCAGGGAATGTGAGCGCACAAAGTCGGATTGCGTCGAATGGTTTAGGGTTTAGGGGTTTAGGGTTTAGGGTTTATTGTAAGGATCCCAGGCTTGGTTCCGTGCAAAAGATCCAAGGTTCCCTTCTCGGCCTAGCTCTGTGCCTGACGAGAAGATTCTGATCCCACAGCGGATCCAAATCTCAAAGCCACAAAGATCGATAACATTGATTCCTATTCCAAACAGCTATCACAACCGTGGCTTCCGTTGTTTACGGTCCCTGAAAGAATGCACAAAAGAGACAGAAGGTGCCACCGTACGCTTTTGGGGCGTGAAGGTTTTGATCATTGGTTGGAGCAAGCTCCACACGAGACCTTCCCCCCAGACCCTAAAACGTAAATCAAAAACGGTTTAGGGTTTAGGGTTTAGGGTTTAGGGTTTAGGGTTAGGGAAACCCAACTTCTTCGTAATCCCTGAACCCTAAACCCTAAACCGTGAATCTAAAAGGCCGCACCTTGACTTCAGCATCCTGGTTCACACCCAGCCTGGTGATTGAGAGTGCATGGGTAGGGCTCACAGTGTTTAGGGTTTAGGGTTTAGGGCTAAAAAAAAATACCTACATCTTTAGGATCTTTATTCTCGTCTCCTGGCATACTTCTTTAAAACGCTAAGCTTTTTATAAGGCTTCAAGGGGCTTAGGCTGGAGTCCCGCCTTTCGGAGTTTCCCCAAATCCGAAAATCGAATCTGGGACCTTACGTGGTAGTTCGACTCCGTTGTTTTTGAGGGGGGGGGGGTCCATTCTAGTACAACTCGAAAAAAGCGGTTTAGGGTTTAGGGTTTAGGGTTTAGGGTTTAGGGTTTAGGGTTTAGGGTTTAGGTCTTCCAAAGGAGCTTATCAAAGTCTTTTGGAGACCGCCTCCCGGAAGCCAGATTCAGCATACCTTCAGAACCCAAAACCTACTTGTTTGTAGGGTCCCTATAAATCCCATATGAGGGTTTATAATAAGAACCTACAAAAAAAGGTGGGTTTTGGGTTCTTAAGGTACAGCCCGATTCAATGCATGACCCACGTTCTTGGCATCCGAAACTCGGAATCCCGAGTGTTCAGGGGGGGCTTCATCTTTGACGGTTTAGGGTTTAGGGTTTAGGGTTTAGGGAATCCCACTACTGTAGGGGAAGGAAGCACAAGCGCCGTGCCCCTGAATTTGACAACACTTGGAGGAAGGATTCGGGCCGTGTTGCTGGGCATGCGAATGACTGCCAGCACTGTTCAACTCAGCAAGACAGAAGTGTGAGTTTCCGAAAATAAGGGGTACCTTATTTGGGGCTCCGTATAATAAGGATCCTACTCTTTAGGGTACTACATTAGGGTCCCCTGTTTCGGAAACCCCCAAGTACAGTAAGGTTTACGGTCCATTAAGCTGTACCCATCTGAGCTTGCTCCGGGAGTGACATCTGCATAAATCCAAAGGCCCTAGGCCCTGGAAAGCCTAGAATACCGTCTCAGCTCAAAGATAGGACAATTCTTGATTCTTGAGGCTTCTGATTTCCTAGCGGATGCTGAGACCAACACTTGATGTTGTCTGGCTCGACAATAAAAGGCGAAGGTCCTTTGATGTCGTCCTCGGAACATGTCGGATTACTCCGAAAGCTAGGGATACTAGACGAGGGGTTGGCAAAGGTGATGCGCCGGGTGTCGAAGACCCGCTTTACTGCTACTAACTGCTGTTGCTGCTGCAGCTGCTGCTACGAATAAAAACCGGTCACTGTGTTCCACCACTATCCTGATCTCATTTCCCAGCATCTAGCATCCAGAATTCTGGAAACATCACGCAACAAGGACGACGACAACTACCAGGACAAACAATGGCAATCGCTGTTTCTATATAACGTCTAGCACTCTAGCACACTCAGATGCATTCCTTACAAAAAATAGGCTCGTCGTGAACCCTGAACCCTTCCCCACTTGAAGCTTCATGTATACATACTACGTAAGGTTTCGGGTACCTTGAAAGAGCAAAGTGCAGCACTGCAGTTGCCTTACATATACCTGCTTTGCTGAAACACTCCCTGATCCTTCAAAGAACCCCGAACCCCCTTAATGTAGGGGCCTCAATAATTAGAATAGGGTTTCCGGGCCTTTACTTGTTATAATAAGGAACCCCCAAAATATCATGGTTAGTTATTTAAGCCCCTATATTGCTGATCTGAAGCCCTCACGGCTGTATAACCCTTCCGAAACCCTTACAAAGGGTGACACAGCAGCCCTCGCAAAGTCCCTTCAAGTCTTCACTATGAAAACCTAAACCCCCAAAGCCTAAAACCGAACACACCGAACACCCACCAAACCCCTAAACCCCAAAAACCAAAGCCACACCAAACCCCTAAACCCCCAAAACCAAAGCCCAGAAGCCCTCAACTTCGAATGGCATCCCCCCGATCTTGCCGCCGCGCATCCCCAACGGCAAAGTCTCCGCCAGCAGATGCCAGGCCTTCGGCGTGGATGTAAGAAAGAATAGGCCTGACAGAAGTAAGCTTCCTTTTGCGAGGTATCCTTTTCCGGGTGTTTTTGTTGTGACTTATAGGACATTCCATAGGAGTTCCTTCAAGAGTTGTTCTCAGTGTTCCTGTTTGACAGTGTTCTGTTGAACAGTTAGAATAGGGTTTTGGGGTATATAGACTATGTTTAACTTTAAAACAAAAGGAAGCCTCAGGAATCGTCTGGATAATTATTTTCAAGCTTCCAAGTTGCTCCCCCGAGCCTGAACCCCAAACCCCAGATCCTAAACCACAGAACACCCAGGCCAGGGTTCATGGATCCTACTGTTGATGATACTTATCCTGCATTACCTGAAGGACCCTGAACTATGGGAATTATCGTGTATTTCTTATTATGGGTAATGCAGGATTTATATCAACAACCGTACTTCAGAGATTCGTTACCCAGACCCTTCGAGGGATACAAACCTAGAGCTCCTCAGGGGGCCCTAGCATCGCAATTTAGGGTTTAGGGTTTAGGTTTAGGGTTTGGTGGTGTTTAGCGTCAAGGGTTTGGGGATGTGGAGATGGCTGGAACCCCTGCTGCGTCAGGGAACTCAAATAACTTTAGCCAAAGAACAATAACTTTTGACCAGTCAGTAACTGGCCAAAGGCTTTATAAACATGGGACTGCAGAACTGCAAAAAGCACAGAATAACCTCTAAACAGCTCTCTCGCCCCTGAAACCCTAAACCCTAAACCCAAAAACCCTACAGCACCAAACCCCTCAGCCCTAAACCCCAACGGGGGGATTCCCCTTCTCGGCTCTCGGGGTCCCATAGAGGCGTCCCTTCGTGTGTAGGGCATTTAGGGTTTCGCGAATCGTGGAAGGTAAGGATAGGTAGGGTTTAGGGTTTAGGATTTAGGGACTTAAGGCCTTTAGGCTCTTAGGGTTTAGGGGTTTAGGGCTTCGGACACGGTTGTAAGTGCTTGAGGGCCGAGCCAAGCCGTACGTTCGCTGGGAAGAGCGAATCGTTGGTGATGCGGATGTCTGGCACAGTTTAATAAGTAGACTAGGATTTGGCGGGGCCTTATTCTATCAAGATCTATAAGACTACATATTATGGATATAATTTCGATGAACTGGGCGATTAGTACTTCTCACTAGTCAGGCCCCTCCAGTCGACCGCAGATTCTACCCCTTAGATTGCTAATTCAGTAGTTAATAGGTGACGGGATGGTCTCAAATGCAGTCCTGCTCCGCTGGAGTGCAACCAGCTCAGCGGCTCAAACTGCCGGTTTACATACGGTTTAGCGCATGCAGCTCTGGCGGCCAGCGCAGCTTATCCGTGCCACAGGCTGCCGCTACAAGTATGGCAACGATCCAGGAATCGATCTCGGACTTCTCGGCGGCCGACTCTCACGAAGTCCCCTGATGCAAAGTAGGATTTGCGATGAAGGCTTCTCTTTCAGAGTTTTGGCAGTGTCAAGATAGTCCTAAGACACCAGACACGGCATGGTAGTTGGTTGCTTGATTTTTTCTGCAACAACCACCGAAACAAACGTCTTTACTTTTTAAACCCCAAGCGCCTCGAAACCTAAAGCCCTGAAGCCCTCAACACTAAACCGCAAATCCCTAAAGCCAACCTCGTAAAACTCCGGGTGGTGGAGTACCGAATGCAACGGGACTTAGGAACCCTTCAGCGAAGTCATCTTGATCGAACTCTCTCAATTCTTCAGCCCAAGCACGGAGCCACCCCTAGTACTAGAGGCAAAATATGTCATTTGCACTTGGGCATCGCCGGAAATATGGCCACTGTAAATCGACCCCGATAATAATCCCTACACCCTGTTGACAACTCTAAACCTTCCCAGAACCCTAAACCCCAGACCCTAAACTGAATAACCCTAAACCAATGACTGTTACAAGTGCAAGAGCTTAGGCTAGTGGCTATATAGCTGCCTTACTTGCGAAGCCCGTGTCTCAAGCCTGCTTTCCACTACCCATGAACCCAACCCGTGAACTCTTCCAGCAAGCTTCAAGGCAGAAACCTTTAAGCCTTCATGACATAGGGCCCTCAATAACTAGAGCAGGGTGCTGGGTAGTTTGAGGACTTCAAGTATAGTTTCACTTGCTCTTATTCCGACCCTAATGTTGGGTCGTAGGCCCTAATTGGGCTCCATTCGGCACACAGGCACCATCCCATTCTCGCACTGAAGGCCCATCCACCAATAGTGCGCATCAGGGATGATGGTCCTAAGATTCGGGCCCCTCCGTGTTTAGATATTCCGAGTCTACCATGCTTAGTCGGGTCTGGCCTATGGGAGCTAGGATTAGGGGGACCCTTGGGGATATAGACCCTCTCAAGAAGGCCCCTTTTAAGAGAGCCAAAAGTAGGGCTCGGAAGGGGCACCCTTTAAGGGGTACCCCTAATAATGCTACCTAGCCTAAGCTGATCTGAACCATGGCAGGACGGCTTTCCGCATGCCGCAGAACGTGAGGACTCAGAGCTTGTAGTTGGACCTCCTGGGTTCGGGGAAACCCAGGGACAAGGGTTCTTTTGTTTTAAGATGTATAAGGGTTCTTTTGTTTTAAGTTTTATAAGGGTTCTTTTGTTTTAAGTTTTATAAGGGTTTAGGGTTTAGGGTTTAGGCAAGGTTTGGGGGTTGGGTTTCAGCCCTTTTGAAAGCACTGTTGCTGCGCTTGTGTCTCTTTAAAGGGAGTTTTGCTGAATTTTGGCTTTGTTCGGGTTGCGGGCGGCTCCTGCTGCTTCTCGCTGGTGCAGGGGGCTTCGTAAGGCTTTAGGGAGCCGGATACCGCTGAATTAAGACAAGACTTCAAATTACTATCGCTATTACTATTGCTGTTGCCACGACGAGTACTCTTATGCTGCTTCTTCTTTTTGTCGGAATAAGGGCTTGGGGTCTAGGGCGGTGCTTTGGGTTTGGGCCTGGGGCATGGAACGTAACCGTCCAGGCTCGAGAGTTCAAGCGGCAATCACCAGCTAAGCAGGCAGGACCTTTGTGTTTAGGGTTTAGGGTTCAGGTTTAAGGTTTAAGGTTCAGGTTTAAGGTTTAAGGTTCAGGGTTTAGGGTTGTTGCCGGTCTGCATTAAGAAACACCTAGAGATCCTGACAGTCCTTAATCCCTTCCCCCCTTTATTAAACACACCCCCTAATGATAAGACACATTGGGCCCAAACCTCCCGAAATCATCCCTGCCCTTTAAAACCTATTCTGAATTTGGGTGGGCCCGGGGGGTGGGGATGGGGGATGGGGGCGTTCGAGGCTCCAAGTACCGACAATAAGAGCAAGAGCAAAAGCAAGAGCGGGAGTAAGAGCAAGAGCAGGAGCAAAAGCGGGAGCAACAGCAAGAGCAGGAGCAGGGGCAACAAACGCAGGAGTACAGGCCAGCGCGGGAGCAAGAGCCAGAGCAGGAGCAAGAGCACGTCCCTTCAACAGTGGCCGTAGAAATAAAGATACCCCCCCAATACTAAAACACTTTCCGACTGTCTAGGGGGGGCCAACCCTAAACCCTAAACCCTAAACCCTAAGCCCGCCCCCGTTTCATATTAGGGGGTCAAGATTAAGCACACCAGCTGCTAGCTGCTCATCATAAGACCTGATTCGAGTGAGCGTCTTACTATGATCGGAGGAACACCTTTGGCACAAAAAGCCTACAGTGTCGGGGCTCCTTCTTGTGAGTTTCACCGTATATTCCTTTAAAGCGGTTGTTGGCGTTTTGGAGCTACAAGTAGCTATTAAACCCTAGAGCCCTAAACCCCTAAAGCCCTGAGCGCCTGCCCTGACTACTGTCAGCAAGAGTGCTGACGGTCTGCTTTTTCATGCTGTTCTTACTCTAAAGAAACTTACCCCCCTTAATCTCCGCATTACTATAGATTTGGGGGTTTCCAAAAATAGGGGACCCTAAATTAGTACCCTATATAATAGGTTCCTTATTATGAGGACCCCAAAACAAGGTACCTTAATTTTCGGAAACTCCCATTTGATAAAGGTTCCTACCCTAAACCCTAAACCCTAAACCCTAAACCCTAAACCCTAAACCCTATACCCTATAAACCCTAAACCCTAAACCCTAAACCCTGAACCCCCCGGGGCCCTGGCTGCAGGCGGAGCCTCTTCGGGCACCTCCTCCTCGGCACCTGGGACGCTTCCAGCGCTGAACAAAAAAGCCTTCCTTTGAAGCGGCCGGGTTTAGGGTTTAGGGTTCAGGGTTTAGTATTACAGGGCATACCCCCAAACTCTATTCTAGTGATGAAGGCCCCTGTGGTTTAGGCTTTGGGGTTTTGGGTTTAGGCTTTAGCGTTTAGGGTTCGGGGTTGCGGTTTACATGCATCCATTGCGGACTTTGGGGTTTAGGGTTTAAGGTCTTATCTTCGGGTTTAAGGCCTAAGGTTGGGCAGGGCTTTGGGTTTAGGGGCTGCTTTCCAATATAGGATTCCTTTGAGGGTTCTTGAAAGCGTTCTCTGAAGGATGTCCAGTAAGCGTGTTCTAAAAGGATACTACAAGACTATACGAGGGTTCTATATGACGCGATCTCAATTCCTTCCGGTCTGTAAGGGCTAGAGCCCAAACCGCCAAGGTCGCAAAGCCCGAAAGTCCGCCTCTAAAGCCCCAAAACTTGCTGTTTGTACAGCCACGAACACCCGAAGAGACTTGCTCAATTTCTGAGTGACGGGCCGGCAGTGGCCGTAGCTCCTTTCATGAAGGGCTTTGGAGGATAGTGCCTTAGGGGAGTCACATCCCTAAGTACGAACTTCTCTGATCCTCCTCTGATCCCCAAACCGTCCTCCACAAACTACAACGGATAAACCCCCTGTAGGAACGCTGCAATCCCGGAAAAATCCCCGTCATTGAAGTCACCCGCAAACCCAACCCTGAAACCCGAAACCCTTCTTTGTCTCAAGACCTTACAACCCGGAATTCCTATCTATGCGGCGGAAACGATACGCAAGCCCTGAACTGTAACTTCAATTAAACCCTGCTAAACCCTAAACCCTAAACCCTAAACCCTAAACCCTAAACCGTTCAACACCCTCTGGGACTCCCCAAGTGCCATACCTCATGACGTAGACTGTAGACCCCAAGTCCAAACAACTCCAAAGCCCTACCTATAGTCTCCATTGTAGTTCCTTTTTTTGGTTTAACCAATTATATACTAAGGATTTCATAAGGTATCCCCAAAAAGGAACTACAATGGGGACTATAGGTAAACCCTAAACTCTAAACCCTAAACCCTAAACTCTAAACCCCAAACCCTAAACCCTAAACTCTAAACCCTAAGCCCTAAACTCTAAAGCTACTTACCGCAGGGCTGTCCTTCTGCGCCAGCCTCGTGTGGAGGAGGCTCCTCGACCTCACGGCCACCCACAAGACAAGAGCCCTAGAAAGCCTTTGGTTTAGGGTTTATAGGGCTTATAGGGTGTATAGGGTTTATAGGGTTTATAGGGTTTAGGGTTTAGGGTTCCTTTTTAAGGTTCCTTACTGCAATTGCTGTATAAGAGTCCTTCAGAGTTTTATAGGCTTTGATTTAAGTAGGCGCTGTAAGGGTTCTGGGCCGAATGTAGGGATGAGGGATTCGGACTATTCGCGTCATAGTATCCCCTCATAGTCCCTTGATCTAGTTATGCTAGAATGTACCGCAAAACCTTCGGCTAGTCTCGCCCCAATATTCGGCAGCAAGTTAGGAATGTTAGGCTCTAGGAGTAATACAGGGGCCTTGATAATTAGAATAGGGTTTTGGGGCCCATTATGCAAGGGAACACCCCCAAACTAGTGTCGGTAAGTATTTAGGGCCCCATTCTACCACACTTATCATAGGGACCCCCCAAACCAAAATAGTGTCGTTAGTTATTTAGGCCCTTACCCATAGGCCCTAAAGTAGTTCCTTTCTGGGGCTCATATATAGAATCCTATAGGGTAACCCCAAAAAGGAACTACTATGGGGCCTATGGGTACACTACGGTTCGAGCCATATTGGGATTTCCGAAAATAGGGGACCCTAATATAGTACCCTTAATAATAGGATCCTTATTATAAGGACCCCCAAAATAAGGTACCCTAATTTTCTGAAACTCCCATATCCTGAGCCCCGAAGCAGCACGGCCCTTTTTTACCTGCTCCCGATGAGTCTCAAAGCTTCGAGTCTGGCGCCTCCCGAAGGGAGTCCAGCCTCATTCGGCTTTCTAGGGTTTGGGGTTTAGGGTTTAGGGTTTAGGGTTTAGGATTTAGGGTTTAGGGTTTAGGGTTTAGGGTTTAGGGTTTAGGGTTAGTCTTATAAGCAATCCGGGGCTTTCAGAAGGGTGGCCTTGCTTCTAAGCAGCTTGAGGGCTTCTTGGGAGTGTCCAGTTTAAACCTTCGGAATCTTTGGGCGTCGGATGGGGTTCAGGCTTTCGGCTCTTGTATGGATTCTCTTCCTTTAGGGGCTCCCGGAAGGTCTTCCCCCCCTAAACCCTAAACCCTTTCAGGGCCCCTGGAAGGTATCCATATGGGTAGTTCTCTAAATTAGGGTCCCTTTGGGGGTCCTTTTTATAAGGGTGCCGTACTAAAATGGGGACCGAAAAAAGGACCCTAATTTAGGGAACTACCCTAAACCCTAAACCCTAAACCCTAAACCCTAAACCCTAAACCCTAAACCCTAAAGGTCCCAGCGCTCAGCTCTTCAGGGCTTCAGGGCTTCAAGCTTGAGGAGCTGAGGGCTTCGGTTTAGGGTTTAGGGTTTAGGGTTTAGGGTTTAGGGTTTAGGGCTTAGGGTTTAGGGTTTAGGGTTTAGGGGCTTCAACCTTTCAGGGCCTAGAGGATCTTTGGGTTTCGGGCTTTGGGGTTCAGGCTTCTAGGGCTTAGGCTGCGATAGGGTTCAGGCTTTTTTGGTTTAGGGTGTGATAGGGTTCAGGTGCTTAGGGTTTAGGGCTTTAGAGTTTAAGACTTTAGGGTTCAGGCCTTTAGTGCTGAGCCCTCCTAAACCCTAAACCCTAAACCAGTGTTCCGGGGCTTAGGGTCTTAGGGGACCATAAGGCTCAGAGGGTTTGGAGTTTGGATTCGGGAACCCGAAGGCTTTGAAACCTCAAAGGTTATGGCTTAGGGTTAAGGTTTAGGGTTTAGGGTTTAGGGTTTAGGGTTTAGGGTTTAGGGTTTAGGGCTAGCTATCATCAGAATTTAGGACTATAGGGCCTCTACATCGAAGCCTGAATCAGCAACCATGGTATTCCTCAAGGGCTCTATAGCATGGGATGAGATAATGTAGGGGCCTTAATAATTAGAATGGGGTTTTGGGGTATTTTATACTACTGTAATCATCATAAAGAGCCTCCGAAAAATAGTATAGGTAATTGTTTAGGCCCTTATATTATGCAAGATCGGCTGAGATCCTTCTGCTGTAGGCTATCTGGTCTACAGGTCGTTTGCATCCACCAGGGTAGCCCATGCATGCGAAGCAAAAGGAACTGAGCTCAAAATACAGACACACACTTTGAACAACAAATTCGGGGAGCTCGAAACCCACACCTTAGATTTGCCAGAATCAGCTTGAAAACGAACGGAAAAGCTCCAAACATTCCCGCATCACAACTCATGGCAAGATTGGGGTTCCCAGGTGCAGTTTCGACAGTTCCCTGGAACCCTAAGCCCATTAAATGCCCAGCAGCCAGTCGCAAATATGCTTGTTGGCCTCTGCAGGCTTCTCCTGCAGGCTGGTTCACGGGTAGCTATACCTGGGTTGTGGTTTAGGGCGTAGGGCTTTGGGGCTTTCGGGGTCTAGGGTTTATAAGTGGGGGTAAGTATAATACTCATAACTCATAACCTATAATTAAGGCGACTTAGAACCCCGGTTATAACTGCCTGACTACCTATGAACGGCCGATCAGAAGACTCGGCAGCAAGGCGCGTGCCCTATCTGCAAGGGGAACTAACGGTTAACCTGCGAAATTATATCGGGATTATGGTACCCGGCGAAAGGATTATGTAGGAATTACGGTATTGTACCCGAATACGGATGAAGGATATTTACTCTATATACACGAAGTTTCCGGGGTCTCTGTGAACCTTGAAACTAACGCTTATGGAACCCTTACAAGAACCCCTAAACCCTCAACGGCCCTAAACCCTAAATCCTAAATTTGAAATTTAAATCATCAATCCTAAACCCGAAGCCCCAAACCCAAAGTCCTAAACCCTACTATAAGGGCCTTAATAATTAAAAGAGGGTTTTGGGGCCCATTATACTATAATTATAAGAAGGAACCTCCACAATAATATGGGTAATTATTTCCCTAAACCCTAAACCCTAAACCCTCAACCCCAAACCCTAAACCCTAAACCCGGCCCCCACATTACCCCAAGAAGAACTCTCCTCCGGCCTGCAGCACCCAGTGGCCACTCTCCTCGATGTGCCGGTGCACGAGCGATGGGATCCAGTCCTCCAGACTCTAAAACAAGCGGTTTAGGGTTTAGGGTGTAGGGTTGGGGGTTAAGGGTTTAGGGTTTATAAGCATGCTGTTTCTTTACGTTGGCTTGCATGCGATAGTGTTCAAAGCGACTGTTTGTACCCGGCTTTCTTGTGTTTTCCGGTTCCTGTTGTGGTGGGCTTGTGCGGCTCTGGGCTTTGAGACTTTAAGGGGGTTTTAAACGGTTTAGGGTTAAAGTGTTTAGGACTTAGGGTTTAAAACGGTTTCATGTATAAGGTTTCTGCAAGGGGTTTACACTGGGGTTTGGGGATTTAGGGTTGCCTTTTCGGGGTGTTGGGGGGGTTGTAGGCTTCAGGCTTTCAGGCTTACAAGCATGGGTCTTTGTGGCTTCGGGTCTAACTTGAAGGATCGTGGGGCTTGGAAAGTGTTGAGTCTAGGGCCGTTTAGGGTTTAGGGCGTGATGGTTCAAGTCATAATATGCCCTCACAGAAGTCACGGGAGTACCTCACTTGATACTGGCTTAGCAACTCAACCAGGGTTGAGTTGTATAAACCCAACACTCTCCCTTCACCCTATATCTGGGGGTTTCCGAAAATAGGGGACCCTAATATAGTACCCTAAATGGTAGGATCCTTGTTATAAGGACCCCCATAATAGGGTACCCCTTATTTTCGGAAACTCCCATCTCAAGGCCTAGACCCTTCCGCAAACCCGAAGCCCTGAGCTGACCTAGCAGGAGGGGTCCCCCAACATGGTGAAACGGACGCTTAGGGGCTGAGTAGGTCACCGTTCACCTTTTGCGGCTCATATTTTCCTACCGTAACTTGAGACCCACCCATTTCAGCTCCAAGTGCATTTTTAGGGTTTAGGGTTTAGGGTTTAGGGTAAGCTTCAGATCTCCTGAGGCCGAAATGCTACATTGATGTCAGCCCTCTAGACTACCCAGAGGTCTCAAATACCCCTGAAATTAAGGAATAATAGACCTGAAACCATAATAATAGCAAGGCCCTATAATTTGCAGGTTTGCAGGGCCGGATGCCAAGCTTTGGGTGCGGAACGCTATTACCCCCCTCGACGTTTAAAGGACAAAATCCACCCAGCAATCACCAAAGCCTGGACCTAAAACCTTCAACCTCCATGTAAACCTGAAACACCAACATCTATCGAGCTCGATGCAAGCAGGACGTAATCTGAACACCATATACCTTCACTCATTTCTGTTCAAGCCAAAACGCAGAAACCAAAAACGTCCAAGCCCTACACCCCCCCCACACCCTAAAAACATGCTGTCACCGCCTTATCAGCCTCCAACAGTCTCGAAATGTGAGCCCCCTATCCCAACTCTTAAAACCCAAATTTTCAAATTGTATTTCTCCTAAGACTTATTTTAGGGGCCTAAATAATACCAATACTATTTGGGGTTCCTTAT